GGATATACAGAGAGGAGAGACAGAGAGGAAGATCTTCCGTCCGATGATTCACTCCCCAAGTGAGTGCAAGGGGCTGATACTATGCCGAGCCGAAGCCAGGAGCCTCTTCCGGGTCTCCCACGCGGGTGCAGGTTCCCAAAGCTTTGGGCCGTCCTCAACTGCTTTCCCAGGCCACAAGCAGGGAGCTGGAAGGGAAGCGGGGCTGCCGGGATTAGAACCGGCGCCATATGGGATCCCGGGCGTGCAAGGCGAGGACCTTTACCACTTGCGCCACCGCGCCGGGCCCATGGGTAGACAACTTCTCTGGGCTGTGGCCTCATCTGTGAAATTAAGGTTAAAATAGTAACTACATCATATAGCTTTTTAGGGATTAAATGGACTTGTTTAGTGTGTGGTATAGAGTATACTCTGTATATCTTTGCTGTTTGTTCTGGGTAAGCCAAAACTATGTTGTCAATCATCCAAACGTTAGTTCATACCTTTTGCTTCTCATGAATGCGGGCTGACAGGCTGAGCTGGACAGTTCTGGGAGTCTCACCTGGGGTCTGTCCTGCAGCTGTTGTTAGCTAGCAGCTGAGTGTGCTGCTTGGAGAGTTCTGGCCAGAAGCCTGGGCTCAGCTCAAGAGCTTGGCCTCTGCATCCGGTGCCCTGGTGTGACCTGGGGCGGGGGCAGATTCCAGAGGCCTTCAAACGAAGGAAGCTGCCAGGCCTGGAATTGGCACATTTGCACCTGTTGCATCCTGTTAATTACGTTGAATCACAAAGTCAGGATGATATTCCTTGGGGTCCATTTATTTCTGGAAACTGTCTTCAGTTAGTGAAGCTTGTATTTCTGTGCTGCTCTACCATGAATACAGTTCTCAGCTGTAGGCCCCAGAAATATATTAATGAACTCATCGATACAAATCCCTGCCCACTTGTAGCTGGTTTTCTGCATGGTGAGTAAAAGCATATAATGCATTGATTGGAAATAAGGATGGTGGATAAGAGCAGGGAGGGAGATGGAGTTGGTTTTAAAAACGGATAATCTTAGAAGGTCTCATTAACAGTGAAGAAACAGTGCCAGAGTCCAGCTCCAGCTGAGTTCGGAACTCCAGAAGGGTGCGTGGATGAGGCGTAAAGAGGAAAGAAAGAGACGGACCACTAGGACTTCATGATCATAATGGACTACGCACAAAAGCTGTCCGCTTTATTTATACAAAATCAGTCAAACTCTGGCTCAGACTTTTTACGTCATGGTCAAGTGGGTGTTTCTAAAGATAATTCTGCCATAGTATTACCTAGAAGTTCCTGCTGCCAGTACCTAGAAGTTCCTGCTACAATTCTTATCCTACAATTCAATCTTGTATCACAAAGAAAAGGAGAACTTAAAGATCAAGGAAAGAATGAAAGCCTAAATACAGGTCCCTTGATTAGCATAGGTTCAATGGGGACAGCCAAGACAGTAGGAATGATAAAGGGCCCTTTTTGCAAGATATTGACCTCCAAGCTCAGGCTGAGCAAAAGGTTAACCTCGCAGTAGCAAATGCCAGGATGGATTAGAATTCTTCCACAGGGTGGTCTGGTGTCCATGCAAAAGAAGGTGGAGCTGCATTCAGGTGGTTGTAGAGACATCTGCTGGGCGGTCCCTGCCAAACAGCGGGAAATTCCTTGCAGCCCTGCCAGCAATGGAACACTCTTCACCCCCTCATGTCCCCCACATCTACTGCACGGACCCCAACAAAACAGAAGAGTAAGAACCAGAGTGCAAAGGCAGCCCGGGGAGAGCTTTAGGAGTGATTTTGTGGAACGTTTCCTGAGAGCTTTGAGTGACATGGAGGCAGTGACAGGGTCCCACCGCTTTCCACATCCCTTACCTTAGCAGCTGACATTTGGTGCTCACTGGTTTCCTCTGGAATAGCCAGTAAACGTTAGCGTGTTTTCCGAGTTCTATGAGCCTTGTTAGCAAGTTAAGCAGACCCAAGGAGTGTTGCAGGATTTTTGACTCCGAGTATGGCAGCAACCTTAAATTCTTGTCTCGCAGGAAAGAAGAATTTTCATGCAAACACAGTTTAATTTTAAAGCAAGATTTATTAGAAAAGTTGAGAAGAGAAGACTCCCGTCCTAGCGACGGGAGGGGATTTTGAGATAGAAAAGACCCTTACCCCCTGTTACCCCCTGCCACAGTGGCAGGAGGAAGAGTAAAAAGAAGACCTTAGTGCTCTGCCATAGTGGCAGGAGGAAAATGAGAACCCTAGTCCTCTGCCATAGTGGCAGGAGGACAAGAAGCAAAACCCTCTGCCATAGTGGCAGGAAGACAAGAAGAACCCGTATCAATTGTGGGGAATGCACCTTTTAAAGGTTTCCCTCAAAGATGTTTCTCCATGAACAAAGAAAATTCCTGGTTTCCATGGTACCTGGCTTTGGGACAAGGCCACAGAGGTGCCAGACATAGGACATTCCAGGCCTTGGGCAGATGTGTATTACTTCTTCCTGTTCTCCTTTCAATGATAAAGAGATCAGCCTGAGGCCCTCCCACAGTGGCCAGAGGTAGTGGCCAATACTTCAGGTGGGGAATTGGTATACTAATAGCACCCTTGTCCCTTGGAAGAGTCGTGCTCTGGTGAGTCCAAGACATGGTGGGGAAATTCTCTTCTATTTGGGGACCCAGAATACCCTAACTGCCTACTACCCACTCTAACTCCTCTCTCAGGAGGATGTTGAGAATTTTATGTTACAGCTGTTCTCGTCAGAAGCACAGGTAAAACCACCTGGGGCTGGTGATTGGCATTGAAAGTGGGGGGCAGCCTGCGGGACTAGAAATGCACCTGAGAGGTCTGATGCTGTTTCCAGACAGGATTAGCACCCTGCTAATGTCTGCTGCAGAACTGATCAGAGCTGATGGGAGAAATCCTTTTACTTCTCAGAAACCAGAAGTGACAGACGACCTGTTGATTTTTGAGTTGGTGTCTAGGGAAGACTGTTCGCTGCTCCTCTGTGCCCTGAGGAGGCTAAAGGAATTAGGAGAAGTACTATAGTGGTTCTGGGAGATGTGAGAAGCTTTTGGATATATTTTGAAGACATGGATGCTTCAGAATGTGTGGACTCGATATACAGTTCATTGGACAGGAGTGGCTTCCCACTGACTGAGCAGCAGTGCAGCCAGAAGGGGGAGAGTGACTGCAGGATTGGCAGGTTTGCGGAGATGAGGGTTGGTTTAATGGGGTGCCTCAGGATGTTCATGGGAGAAGGGAATCACAGTATGTATTTTATGTGAACTTTAGTATGCGTGGATTTCAAAAAGACTTTGTACCCAGGTAAACTTGTTTTTCAACTCTCATTTTCACACAGTTTTGAAGAGCTTTCATATTTTTGTATGGTTTTAAATGCTCATTAAGAATCAGCCTTAAACGTAGCTTTGCTTGCGTCTGCTTTTCACTTTTTCAGGAGACATGGGGGGAGGGGTGTAGGGTAAAGGAGGCCTTTATAGCTTAAACTTGGTTACTCATGACGCACAAGAGTGCCGGGTGTTCAGCCCGTGTGTTCTCACTGTTTTTGTAGTTTTTACTCCCTCCTTAATGGAACTTGCTGTAAATTTAGCTAATTGGTTGTTACTTGTTTATTAGAAAAAGACCTGAAGGTAAACTCAAGCAAATTATTTAAAACTTATTTTCCTTTCTATAACTTTTTTATGAGAAAAATTAGAAAGTGGGAAATTTCAAAACACTGCATGTTTCACATATCCATCTCAGACCATTTTGTGAGGATTTAGTTGCTTTTTTCTTTTGGGTTTGGCACAGTTAAAAGCTGTTTTAACTGGTGCTGGGCACGTTGAGTCTGACTTTCAGAGGTCCTTTGTCAGGACATGTTCTGGTGGCTTCCAAGGCTTTCCTCCAAGCGTTTTTCCCTTGGTAATTCTCCGGCTCCCACATGCTGTCTTCTAGATGGCGCTAGCTGTCCCCCAGAACAGGAAGGACGGTTTTGATACCTGCTGGGGAGGCGCTTACTGTAGGTTTGACTTCGTGCTAAAACAATTTACTGATTAACATCAGTGTGGAAGTTGGAATGCTGTGCCTGATTTTGAAATCCCCAGATAATCATCAAGTCTGAAGTCAGTACTAAGGCATAAAGGTGGTTTATTCAGGTTAACTAGGTCTCCCAGCTAGGCTGCTGCAGGATCCGCAGGGAGGGCAAAAAGAAGCATGAGCCAGAGAGTCAGAGCGAGAGCCCAAGCCCCCCAGTTCTTATACATTTCAGGCTATTAATTATACAGTCATGATTTAGTAGGCTTCTGTTGGTGGATTTGAAACAAACAACTTTCAAAAGGTACAAACTGGTGAGCTATTTGGCTGTGAATCTTATCAAACACCAGGTACCTCCTTCCTGAGGAGTGATCTGCCTACGTGACTTGCCAGGTGCCTGCCGGGTCTCACCATTAAGGCAGAATCACAAAAGGCAGAAAACATCTAGGTTCTTCAGGAACATGCCCGAACCTGTTTCAGGCTTCACCTGAGGAAAGCGTGCATGAGTCCCTCTGTTTCAGTTAAGCCTCTTGGAGTGGCCAGAGGCACAAAGCAGCTGAGCCGGGGCTGGGTGCTTTTGGCCGGATGCTCAGATCCAAGTGTGCGTGGTTTTTGACTTCTGCTGGGTCTTTTTTTTTTTTTTTTTCATTGGAAAGGCGGATATACAAAGAGAGACAGAGAGGAAGATCTTCCGTCCGATGATTCACTCCCCAAGTGAGCGCAACGGCCGATGCTATGCCGGTCTGAAGCCAGGAGCCTCTTCCGGGTCTCCCACGTGGGTGCAGGGTCCCAAAGCTTTGGGCCGTCCTCGACTGCTTTCCTGGGCCACAGGCAGGGAGCTGGAAGGGAAGCGGGGCTGCCGGGATAGAACCGGCGCCCATATGGGATCCTGGGTGTGCAAGGCGAGGACCTTAACCACTTGCACCACCGCGCCGGGCCCTCTGCTGGGTCTTGTTAGAAAAGGTTTTATACCCATTTTTTTTCCTTTTTTAACCAAAGGCTGCAAGTTCTTTACTGCCAAAATGACATCATATTCTACTTCTGCTCAGTGTTCCACTTCTGACAGTGCTTGCAGGATCGCTGCAGAACGAATCAAAAAGGTAAATCAGTAGTGGGCGGTTTTGTGTGTCCGTCGTTTCTTTTTGTGTTGACGCATGTAGCTGACATCATTGACTCAGATTTATATAAAAATATTACAAGGGAGATGGATAAATGATGCCAAAACTTAGACATTTAAATTGATTATTGACAAGATAAATATTTGGAGGTTCAGGTTGTCTAAAATGGTACATTTGATACATTTTACACGCTAACATGTTGTAGAGTACAGATGGCTAGTGGAGAGTTTGGGACTAGGTAAGGTAAGTTTGTTTTCTGGGTTCCTCACATTGCTATAATTACTGTAAATATCACTTTTTAAAAGATTTATTTATTTTTATTGGAAAGGCAGATATACAGAGTGGAGGAGAGAGAGAAGAAGCTCTTCTCTCTGATGGTTCACTCCCCAAGCAGCCACAATGGCTGGTGCTGAGCCTATCAGAAACTAGGAGCCAGGAAATTTTTCAAGGTCTCCCACGTGGGTGTAAGGTCCCGTGGGTACAGGGTCCCATGGGTTTGGGCCATCCTCTACTGCTTTCCCAGGTCACAAGCAGGAAGCTGGATGGGAAGTGGAGCTGCTGGGACTAGAACTGCACCCATAATGGATCCCAGTGTGTTCAAGGCGAGGACTTTAGCCACTAAGCTATTGTGCTAGGCCCTAAATATCACTCTTAAATGAATGATTGTACCCTAACCAGATACCAAACATTGATTGATTTATCTTTCAGTATCTACTGAATGTTGTCTGCCTTCAGAACTGCTTTTCAGAACTGACACAAAACTAAATGCCAGAAAGATTAAAAATTTAAATGTTAGGCCTGGTGTAATGGTCTAAATATAATCCTCACTTTACAAGTGCCAGGATCCTGTATGGATGCTGTCTTGTGTCCCAGCTGTTCCACTTCGCATCCAGCTCCCTACTTGTGACCTGGGAGAGCAGTTGAGTATGGTCCAAAGCCTTGCAACCCTGTACTTGCGTGGGAGACCCAAAAGAAGCTCCTGGCTCAGCTCTGGCTATTGTAGCACCTTGGGGTGTGAGCCAGTGGATAGAAGATCTTTCCTCTTTGTGATTCCTTCTCTCCATAAATCTGATCTGTATTTCCAATAAAAAATAAATGAACCTTAAAAAGATATTTAAATGTTCCAAATAAAAAATATTTTGAGAAAAGTTGGGAAGTATTTGTAAGATTTAGACTGAGGAGTATGTTAAGAAAACTAAGACTATTAAGAAACTGATTGGACCAAAGTGTTTGTTTTTTTTTTTTTTTTTCCTATTTTTTCTTTGACAATTTAAACTTAAAATTGGCTGCATCTCCACAGTCAGAATGGAGGTGGCTAGTAGTCGCTGCTTCATGGCTGTACGTGTTATTCATTTGTTACTAATGGACATATAGATGGTCGTCATCTTTTGTCTCTTTGTGAATAACACTGCTCTCAGCGTAGGTTAACAAATTCTTAGTTTGGTCCCAGCTTTCAGTTCTTTTGGGTATTTTCCTGGGACAGCATGGCTGGGTCATGTGGCTTTATCGAGGGCAACCGGACTGTTTGCACAGCAGCCTCCCCACCTTACTTTGAGCAGTATGCAGGGGTTCCACTTTCCCTTGTGTCCTTATCAACACTTTACTTTAAAAAAAGTGTTTTTTAATTAATTTATTTTTTAATATTATAAGAATTCTACTAGGTGTGCTTCTTTTTACAAATGATTTTTTCCAAGAAGGCAGCAGGTACCACTTTGATCATCTGTGGTTGTTTTTTGCATAGCAATATTACATATTATTTGATAAGTATTATTGTGGATTGCGTTTTTTAAACCTTTCAGAAAATTCTATTGTTCCATTGGCTTTCAGAAGCCAATTCTGTTGAAGTGTAAATAGCTGACTTATTTTATATTTATATCAGGTACGACCAAAACTGCCACTGTTGAAGATCTTGCAGGCAGCTGGTGCACAAGGTGAAACGTTCACTGTTAAAGAGGTAAAACATTAAGGAAAACACTCTTGCTTTTGAAGGATTTATTTGTTTATTTTAAAGAATGACACAGACAGATCTTCCATCTCCTGGTTTACTCCTCTGATAGCTGCAGCAGCTGTGTGTGAGGTGCAGCTAACGACAGGAGTCTGGCACTGCTTCCTGGTCTCCACGTGGGTGTAGAGATCTCAAGCACTGGGGCCTCTTCTGCTCTCCCAGGCGTGTTAGGGAGCTGAACCAGAGAGATGCAGCAGAACTCAAACCACAGCACGTTGGTGGTGGCTTAACCATTACTCCACAATTCTTCAGTTTTAAGATCAGCTGATGCTGGGCAAGCATTTGTAGCTTGTCTGATGGCAAGGCAGGCTGGAGCCTCAGTATTGGGACCTGTTTGGAAAATAAACTATATTGAAATTAAAAAAAAAAAAATCAGCTGAGAAGTGGAAGCTAGCAAATAAAGTAGTTCTGAAATCAAGTCTAAGAAAGGCAGTTGTAATACTGAGAAGTACTGGACGACTTCTGTTTTTTCTGCTTTAGACGCTGAGTTAAATTGAGCTGCTGCTTTCCTTTAGAGTTCCTTTTGGAGTAGTTAGAAGTGAAGCCTAAGATTGACTGTGAGTTCATTGATTGGGAGTTAAAATGCAGAACATGTACAAATGATACTGTGCTCTACAGGAAATGCGGCCAGGCAGGAATTAAATGCAGTGGCTTTTCATTATAAATGTGTCATACGCTCTTCTGAGCACTGTGAGTTATTTTGAACAGCCATGCATTTAAATAACTGACTTAGCTTCTGAAAAAAATTTTTAAAAAACAAAAGCAAATTGAATTTTTTTTATGTGGAAAAAACTAAGTAAACTCTTAATCTGTTCAAACTGCTTGCTAGGGTAGCTGTCAAGCCCTTCCTAAACAGAGGGAGCAGAATTATTAACCCTTTTTTTTTAGTTTTTATGAGCATTGCATTATTTTCATGCCAGTGTACTTCTCAAACAAATCTGAAGGCATTCCAGATTTTTCCAGGAAACCTATATGTTTTTATTTTTTTATCTTATTTTTTTTTAAGATTTATTTATTTGGAAGGCAGAGACAGAAATGGATCCCAAATGGGATCCCGGTGCATTCAAGGTGAGGACTTTAACTGCTCGGCTACCACGCCGCGCTCCCTTCCCCCCAACATTATTAGCAACAAGCTGAATCTAAAGTGGAAGCAACTGGGAGTTGGACCAGTACCCACGTTATTGAATTGATTATATGTTTGAAAGAAAGAGGTGTTTCTTATTCCCAAAGGCCTTCAGCTGAGGCTAGACCAGGCCCAAGCTGGGAGTGAGCATCAGTCCTGGTCTCTCACACTGCTGGCAGGGCCCCAGCTGTGTGGGCCATCACCACCATTGCTTCATAGGATCTGCATCGGCAGAAAATGGAGTCAAGAACCAAGAGTTGGGTGTTAAACCCAGGCACTCTGATGAGGCACACGGTACCCTGAGGACTTAGCGCTAGATGTCTACCCAGTTTTAGATCTTTTTTTTTTTTTTTTAATTTATTCTACTTGAAGGTCAGAATTACAAAGAGAAAGGGAGAGACAGAGTGAGAGAGCTCATCTGCCTGCTGGTTCATTCCTCAGATGGCCACAGGGGCCAGAGCTGGATTGATCTGGAGCCAGGAGCTTCTGCCAGGTCCCTCACACAGTGTAGGATCCCAAGGCTTTGATCCATCCCCCCCTTCCCTTTGCTTTCCCAGGCCACAAGCGGGGCTCTGCTGGATGGGAAGTGGAGCAGCCAGAACTAACAACAACACTGGTGTGGAGTTTTCTGTGCTGCAGGCACAACATTATCCATCAGCCCCCAATGTTTATAATTTTCAAATTACAAGCTTGTTTATTTCCTTTCATTTTTTTTTTTTAAAACTTTGTAACAACAAGCCAGATAAACTGTCAGTTGATAAACAAGTTCTGTTTTGGTCATTTATAGTGCTAATGGATTAATTAAACATTGACCAGGAGGAGACTTTGGTGTGGTGGTTAAGTCACCATTTGTAATGCCAGCATCTTGAATCAGGGTGTCTGATTCAAGTCCTGGCTATTCCACTTCCCATGAAGCTTTCTGTTGGTGTTCCCCCTTTCAAGGAGCGGATGATTCAAGTATTTGGCAAATGAAGTAGTGTGTAGATTTTCTGTTTCTCTTCATGTCTCCGTCTCTCTGCTTTTCAAATAAAAAATGAAAACTCTAGGTAAGTTGTTTATGTGCCCTTGGACTTGTATTTTTTTGTTTGTTTTATTGAAAAAATTACCATGGTTTTATTTGAAAGGTGGAGAAAGGGGGAGATCGTCCATTTGCTGGTTCATTCCCTAAATTCCCAACATAGCTGGGCCTGGACCAGGCCAAAGCCTGGACCCAGAACTCAGTCTGCGTTTCCCAAATGGGTGACAGGAGCCGAAGTACTCGAGTCATGTGCTGCCTCTTCAGGTGCTTATTGTAAGAATCCGAGCCAGGACTTTAACCCTGGTGCGCTTACAGGACACTGGCGTCCCAAGTAATATCCTAACTGCTATGTCAGATCCTTGCTTTGGAAAATACTTTTATGGTCCAGGCAAAGTGTGTTACTAGCAGTAGGACAGATCCCTTTATTTGGACTGGTGAGAAGATTTTTAAGTGGATGTACTATAGATAACCACTTTTTCTCATGGACACATAGGCACATATCTGGCCTGAAGGGGGTGGGTGTGTTACCAGGCCGCAGGCTGCTGCATGGAAACGCTCTCCGTAGTTGGGAGCAGCTGTTCTCTTGCGGGGCGCCTGGCGTGAGCACTGATGGCCTTGGGAGTGTTCTCTCTCTGGTGCACACCTTACCTGCTTGTAGTTAGCGTGGTGGTTAACAGCTGGACAGAAACTTCCTGGTGTTTTGTTTCCATTCAGGTCATGCACTATCTCGGCCAGTACATAATGGTGAAACAGCTCTATGACCAAAAGGAGCAGCATATGGTACATTGTGGTGGAGATCTGTTGGGAGAGCTGCTGGGACGGGAGAGCTTTTCTGTGAAAGATCCAAGGTAATGAGCCAGGGACGCCTCGCCTCAGGAGTGCTGGCCTGTCCTTCATCTCCATGGCTTGTTGTGATGCCTTTAGTCAGCCCGTGGGTGAGAGCCTGTGTGGTGGGAAGCAGTTGTGGGAGCAGCGTGGGCTCTGCTTGTGCGGAGCTTACAGAGTGACAGTGTGTGATAAAATTACAGCATAAACTGCAGGATAAAAAGAGGTACCGGAAGTGGATGGGCTCTAGAGGATAGGGGGTCGCCTAAGGTTCCTTACAGGAGTGAGTTTACGTGGAGAACTGGAGGACATGGTGGCTTAGAGGGGATTGGGTAAGCTGGAGATCCCCTTCTGCTTGTTCATTCCCCAAGTGGCCTCAGTGACTGGCGTTAGGCCAGTCGGAGGTCAGGAATCTGTAACTCCACAGATCTCACCTGTGGTGGCCGGGATCTAATCGCTGCTTTCCCAGGCTGCAGTGGTAGGGAACTGGATTGGACTTGGAGCAGCTGGGATTTAAACCAACACTCCCGTTTGAGATGGCTGCATTATAAATGGCAGTTTAACCTGCATGCCACAGTGTAGATCAGCTAATTTTTTTTTTTAATGGGAGCAAAGTAACACAAAGGCATGGACATTGAATATCTTCATATTTAGCCATCCCCCCCCCCCAAATTTGATTTATTTGAAAGCCAGAGTTAGGAAGAGGAAGAAATAGATCTTTTACCCACTGTTTCACTTTCCAGATCACTGTAATGACCAGGGCGGGGCCAGACTAAAGCAAGGAGCCAGGAACTTCATCAGGGTCTCTCACGTGGGTGCAAGGGCCCAAGCACTTGTGCCATCTTACTGCTTTCCCAGGCACATGAGCAGGAAGCTGAGCTGGAAGTAGAGGAGCCAGTGCCTATACACGATGCTGGCATTGTGGGCAGCAGTTTAATGCATTGTGTCAAAGTGCTAGCCTCCAGGTTTTTTTTTTTTTTTTGAATTATTTTATTGGAAAGGCACATATACAGACAGGAGGAGAGACAGAGAGGAAGATCCTCAATCCGATGATTCACTCCCCAAGCGTCCACAAAGGCCGGTGCTGTGTCGATCTGAAGCCAGGAACCTCTTTCTGGATCTCCCACGCAGGTGCAGGATCCCAAGGCCCTGGGCCATCCTCGACTGGTTTCCCAGGCCACAAGCAGGGAGCTCTATGGGAAATGAAACAGCCGGGATTAGAACCGGCGCCCACATGGGATCCTGACATGTCCAAGGCGTGGACCTTAACCATTATGCTATTGCACCGAGCCTTCCATTTTTTAAAAAGATTTATTTATTTTTACTGGAAAGTCAGATACACAGAGAGGAGGAGAAACGGAGAGGAAGATCCTCCATCCAATGGTTCCCTCCCTGAGCAGCTGCAATGGCTGGAGCTGAGCCAATCGGAAGCCAGAAACCTGGAGCTTCTTCTGGGTCTCCCTTGTGGGTGCAGGGTCCCAAAGTTTTGGGTCATCCTCCTCTGCTTTCCCAGGACACAAGCAGGGAGCTGAATGGGAATTGGGGCTGCTGGGATTAGAATCGGTGCCCACATGGGATCCTGGTGTGTTCAAGGCGAGGACTTCAGCTGCTAGGCTACCGTGCCTGGCCCTAGTCTCCAATTTTGAAAACAGCTATTCTGGGGAATGTATTCTATTTCTGTTACTCTACAGGTAGAATTGATAGATAACATTTCAAATTCAATTTATTATTTAATTGAAAATATCAGTATAGCTTTTATCTTCAAAATGGCATTTGAGATTTATTTTTTTGTTTACTGTTTTACAGCCCTCTGTATGACATGCTAAGAAAAAATCTTGTCACCTTACCTACTGCTACTACAGGTATGTCACATGCTATTTCTTCAGTCTCTATCACAGTTTTGAGTTCAAGGGGTCAAATGACGGGAAAACAAGGAGGGTCTGGATTGCTGTCTCTGACGGGGCTGGTGGCCTAGTGAGCTGCCCGCCTGCATAGAGTAACTGTTTGCTGCTTCTCCTTCTACTTTTAGAAATTATCAGCAAAATAAGGTCTTTTATTGTACCCAGCAAGATGAGTAACAAAACTAATGATAATCCCAAAGCACTATTAATAGGCAGTTTATGTATCATCTCTCACTGATTCCTCAAAAATATCTCCTAATTTTGACTTATTTGAATCGGGATGCAGTCTGCATGTGTATTTGGTTGTTAATGTCTTGCATCTAATGCTAAATTTGAACTTGTTTTTGGTTGTTTTGGTTTTAATTAAAGCTTATATTTAGCAACATTTTGTCTTTAGTTGATGTAGAATCGTGTTAATGGAGTATGGTGATAGGTTAATGCATGTGTATAATGCAGTGTTCAAATCAAAGTAATTAGCATTTCTTCATTCAAACATTTGTCATTTCTTTGTGTTGGAAATATTCAAAATCCTCAATTTTTGTTTGAAGATTTATTTATTTGAAAGGCAGAGTTAGAGAGGAGAGAAAGGCACAAAGACCTTCTATCTGCTGGTTCACGTCCCCAAATGGCCCTAATGGCCAGAGCTGAGCTCTGATGAGGAAGCAGGATCCCCCTTTGGGTCCCCATGTGGGTGCAAAGGCCCAAGAAAGTAGAGTATCCTCCTTTCCCTTCCCAACCCACAAGCGGGGAGCTGAATCAGAGGTGGAGTAGCTAGGACACTTAGCTGTATGCGTATGGGAGACTGGTGTTTGCAGGTGGAGGCTTAACCTGTTGAGCTGTTGTCCAAGTCCCACCCGCCCCTTTTTCTAAGAGATTGCTCTATTTGAAAGGTAGAGTTACAGAGAGGAGAGACAGAGAGACATTTTCCAACCCCTGGTGTAGCCCCCAAATGGCTGCAGTGATTGAACTGGGTCATCCTGAATCCAGGAGCTTCTTTTGCATCTCCTATGTGAGTACAGGGACCCAAGAACTGCGTTCATCCTCTGCTGCTTTTCAAGATGTATTAGCAGAAAGCTGGATGGGAACTGGGGCAGCTGGGACTAGAACTGGTGCCCATACGGCACTGTTAAGTGGCAGGTTTACCCCTGAGGCCAAAGTGCTGGCCCTTCAGTGAACTCTTTGGAGACCCTTGAATATAGTAGATTGTTAGCTATGGTCATTCTCCCCACAGTGCTCTATACAATACTCCTTTTGCTTTTATGTCACTTGTTTGTTGAAGAAATGGATCATTGGTCCTGGAGGATTTCCCGTATTCTGGAGTTAACAGATTGTATCTTGTGGTGTTGTTTAGTGTGGTTTCTCTATCTCCCAGTTGTGGTGAATTAGTAGTGCTTGAGTGGATTCAAGTTTAATGCTGTTTTTGTCAGGAAAACCTCCTGGGTGGGCCTTGTGCTTTTGCTGCATCCCACCCGAGCCCTGTGGATGTGCTTGTGCCTCCTGGGTCGGGCTGACCCTGTGGGCCCAGGTGCTGTCAGTCAGCTGACTGCTAGGAGGCACTGCAGGAACCTATTATTTTCATTAGAATGCCAACTCTGATAATTTCACATCTTTAAATACTGCCCTGTGAGGTTAACTTATTAGGTGAATTAGGAAAATGCTGGGATCTCAAGATTGTTAACAGATAGCGGAGTAAGCTGGGTAGCTATGTGAAGCACTTCCGCGTTTCAGATTTGACTGAGTAACATTGCTTTTTGAAGAAAGCCCACCTTTGTTATCTTTTTTTGTTTGTTTTTGAAGATTTATTTATTTTTATTGGAAAGGCGGATTATGGTCACAGAGAGAAAGGTCTTCCCATCTGCTAGTTCACTCTGAAAGTGGCCATAGTGGCAGGAGCCTCTTCTGGGTTCCCATGAAGGTGCAGGGTGTCAAGGCATTGGGCCGTCCTCGACTGCTTTCCCAGACCACAAGCAGGGAGCTGAAGGGAAATAGGGCAGCTGGGACATGAATCGGTGCCCATTTGGGATCCTGACTCTTGGAAGGTGAGGACGTTAGCCACTGAGCCATCACTCCAGACCCTAAGTTTATAATCTTAGGATTGGGTATTTTCAGAAAGCTTATGGAAATAGATAGAAAAAAAGAATCCATTCCTTTTAAGAATTTATACTTTAGAATCCAGGAAAGACATTTGCTCTTATAGCATAACATGATTTTGGATTTGCTGATTTTTGAAAGCCTGTTAGTTTTATTGAGCTGCTTTAATTTCTTCATATAGTTATACGTTTCTGTTGCAGAGCAAGAATTTGGCAGCTTTCTTGAAATTCTATCAGTTGTGAACTAGTGTTTTTTGGTATAGTCATAAATGGTTTGAAATATATGGAGGACTTTATATTGCTGATCAATTCTTTTAGTAAAGCTTGTTTTCTGAATGTTTAGAGTAGGTATAATTGTTACTTTTTTCTGTCATTTTCTTTCTTACTTTCTTTGAATAATTTAATCTGCTCGTATTTATGTATTTTAAAAGTCACAGTCTTACATATAGAGAGATTGATCTTACATCCTCTGGTTCACTCCCTGAATGTCTGCACTGCCAGCAGTGGCACAGGGCAAAGCCAGCAGCCAGGAACCCAGAGCATTATCTGGGCCTCCCACATGGGTGGCAGGGGCCCAGACATGTGGGCCATCTTCCAGTGTTTTTCCCAAACCATTGGCAGGGAACTGGATAGGAAGTGGAGCAGCTGGGAAGTGACCAGTGTCTGCAAGGGACGCCAGCATCATAGGTCCCCCAGAACACAAGTCCACATATCCATGTGTTATTACAATCATTTTCATAGCATTCCTCTGAGGAATATCCAGGTATCAATAAGGTTGGTTTTTTTTGTTTGTTTGTTTTTTGTTTTTTTTTTAGGATTTTATTTAAAAGAAAGACTGTGAAAGAGAGGGAGAAAGCAGACATGAGCTAGCTTGGCTCATTCAAACGAGTGCAGTGGCTAAAGCCAGGATCCAGGAACTCTATGCAGATCTCCTGAGTGGGTGCAGGAGCTTTTGCTAGGCACATTAGCAGGGAACTTAGTCTGGAATGGCATAGCGAGGATTCCAGCTAGTAGTCTAAAGTGAAATGCTAGGGTTGTTGGTGGCAGCTTACCTCACTGGTCCACAAAGCTGCTTTGTTTTCTGATTTTTTACGTTGAGCAAGTGATTGTCTAAAGGTCAGGGACCACTAGTAGGTGGTGGCGTGGAGAGTTCTGATTGCTTGGCCTGCTTATGCTCATGTGGATGTGTCCTTAACTAGGATTCTAACACTTTTCCCCCTTCAAGTATTTTTTTTAATACATTTTTACCCTCTGAAACATTAAATCATTAAAACATTTGTCCTTTAAATTGTCATTAAAAATAGGATTTGTTTATTTGTTTGAAAGGTAGAGTGATGGGATTAGAGTCTCTGTCTTCCATTAGCTTGGTCACTCCCTAAACAGTTTACAACAGCCAGGGTTGGGCCAGGCCGGAGCCAGGAACGTCATCCGGGCCTTTCTTGAGGTACTTGGTCTGCACCAATAGGCACTCTGACGTGCATGCAGGTGTCCCGAAGGAGGACTCAGCAATTCACTGCCGCACATCAGGTGCCCAAATTTGACATTAAAAAAAAAAAAAAAAAAGAACTTCAAACCCAGGACAATTACACAAAAGTATTGACTCAAAATGGTAGCACCTCACATAACCATAATACATTGACCTAGACCCACCCCAAAATTACCGCAAGTAGTTTTGATTGTCTAATCTGACTTCCCTCTTATTAGTGCTTGTGATGGACTAAGTCTGTTGGTTTTCATATGTTGGTTTGTATGTATTTGAAAGGACAAATGAGAAAAGTGCTTTTTGTGTAATCTATTTTATACCCTTCCAAAGGAGTGAAACTTTTTTCTTGATTTTAGGCTAATTTATTTGAAGACAAGTTGTAGAGGGCAGGGGAAGACTCTCCACATAACTATTCCTGTGGGGTTGGGACTCGGGCACTTGGGCCACCATCTGCTACTTGCTCTGGCACATTAGCAGGGAGCTGGGTCCGTGGTGGAGCAGTGGAGAATAGGCCCGTGTCCCTGTGGGATGCTGGTGCTGCAGGCAGGGACTTCGACTGGTGAGCCACGGTGCCAGCCTCTGTTAGCGTTGATGACCACAGTTAGAAGATAATGTCTCTATCTTTCCACTTTTCACCATCTTCAGTCACCTGTATAGATTCATCTCTAATTTCAAGAATGCTTGCTTTGTACAAAGCAAGTGAAAATAATCATCAGACTAGGTGTGTGACATTAGTAAGTATTATTTCTCTGGCAGTGTTCGTTAGAGAAGGGTTAGATTATCCATCCGTGTCTCCTCAGAACCTGGGGGTGACTGATCACCTCCCCATGGTAGATGTACTTGGATTATTTCAGTAAGCTCTGCCCTGAGTGCTCTAGGTTACCATGTGCTCTGCAGTTTGATTTCACTTTCTTTCTGCCTCAAAAATTTTGTTAATCTTTGGGGTGTGTTTCTATCTTGGCTAATGTTTATTGATATGGGAAAAACTTCATCCTCTTCCTCTAACTTACTGTGTATTGTTTGTTGTAACTGGGAAAACTAACACTTAATGAAAACAATTCAGTCTTTATTCAGATGATGGGAATTAAAGCCATAAAATTGTCATTGACACTCAGAATGGAGCTTACATGAAGGTTTAAATGTAAGATACTGTTATCTTATGAGAAAACTTCCAGATTTTGGATCTCATGACCTGTACAACTTTCATACTTGAAAATAAAAATTAGATTCAGAATACTTCTTTTTTTTTAAATTTATGGTGGTGGTAGTTTATATGTTGGGCAAATTTGATCACTTATCCTCTGCTTGCAACCACTTCTCAAAATTTGACAGCGTGCCAGAGAAGAATATTTTTAGTTATTTTTTCCCAGTCTTCCCCCATATTTTGGTGATGTTTTGAATATGACCTGTCTTGATCTCTGTCACTTTGATCAGTTTTAGTTTTTCCCCTTTTGCAAATGAGATCCTTGTCCCACCTGCCCGCCCACGCTCATGAAATTCATTCTAGATTTCTAGGGCCCAAGCGTGGCTTCAGGGTGGTTTGCTGAGGTCCTGTTGTGTGGAAAGAATGGTTATTACCAGGGAAGGTTTTCCTTTTGTTTTACTTGCTATCCAGATGCTGCTCAGACTCTCGCTCTCGCACAGGATCACAGTATGGATATTCCAAGTCAAGACCAACTGAAGGTAAACTCACCACACGGTGACTTCTTTTGTTGTACAGAGTGGCCCCTTCTCTGTACCTGTGGATCTTGGACTCCCAAGACCTTTCCCTGAATGTGGTAAGGATTTGCTATGAAAGGTCCTTGGGAGTTCACAGACCAGGGACAGAGTGAACCTTCTCTGTTCTGCCTGTAGCAGAGTTCCAGTCTCTGTATCTTTATTGGGATGTAGCACTTCTGATCTTTAGTTCTTCCAGTTGCGTTTTCCTTGGGCTCGTGTGTACCTCTGTGTGTTTGTGTGTGTGTGTGAGAGAGAGAGAGAGAAAGGGGCGCGGAGTGAGGGAGTGAGCCAATGCTTATGTATTATGAAATGTTTTATTAGATTTTAGCAGGTTTGTTGCAACTAAGTTCATATCAGGGCATTTTTGTAAAGCTCTTGCAAACATGAGAAATTGAATGAATATGTTTATGTAGTGAGGGTTTTCCATGTTTTCTGAACTATGCCTCACTTTGCAGTTCACTAGAGACGGTCTGTTTTTACAGAAGATTTCTGCTTTGTGCAGTGATTTCTCTCCTCTCCTCAGGTTTGGGATTCTCCTAGCTCTGCTCTTGTGGGTTAAGGGAGAAGTGTTGTGTGACCTTTCCTTGATGAGTGATTGGAATCCAGACTTCTGGTCCTTGTGTGTAGCCCATTGTGTTGCACACTAACTGGTGAGCTAGAATGGAACTGCTACATCCCCGGGTCGCAGTTAGTCCTGCTGCCCTGATAGAAACTTTTCCCCTCTTTCAGCAAAGTGCAGAGGGGAGTTCCGGTTCCAGGAAAAGAGCCGAAGAACGTGATATTCCCACACTGCCTACCTCACAGCATAAACGCAGAAACTCTCAAGAAGGTGAATTCTGAATTAAGACTTTGTGGATGTTTCTGTCTGTTGATTCTTTCATAGTGAGCACTAGCTGTGATTAAGGTAATTGTAGAAACTTTTATATAGATGGTCCGTGTAGTCTCGGTGTGTGAACAGGGGGCCTGTGTTGTACGTCCTGCCATTCTTTTCTCTTGGCCTTTTTTCAACCAAGTGGTAACTTTGAAGAGGATGGTAGCCTGTGATCCCTGGGGTGACACAAAACTCTCCCCACAGTTAGCGTGCTGGCAGATGCAACTCTGTGGTCATTAGTTGGCCACCTGCTGAACTTTCTGTAAACATGAATTCACTTGACTTGTGTGTGTGTGTTTATCTGATTTGATTGCATTTTTTTTAAAAGATTTATTTATTTTTATTGGAAGAGCAGATGAACAGAGAGAGGGAGAGAAAGAGAGGAAGATCTTCCATCCATTGATTCACTCCCCAAGTGGCCACAAAGGCCGTAGCTGAGCTATCTGAAGCCAGGAGTGTCTTCCGGATCTCCCACGCTGGTGCAGGGTCCCAAGGCTTTGGGCTGTTCTCAGCTGCTTTCCCAGGACAGAAGGGAGCTGGATGGGAAGCGGGGCTGCCGGGAAACGAACCAGCGCTGATATAGGATCCCGGTGTATGAAAGGGAGGACTTTAGCTACTAAGCTACCACACTGGGCCCTTGATTGCAGTTCTTACTCCTGCTTGAGTTAAAGGCCGGTTTTCATAGATTTTTGAAGTTTGAAAGTTGACAAAATATACTTTGTATCATAGGGCCAAGAATGACCTGCAAGTCATTCTTTTATGGTGGCTGCCAGTCACCAGAACGGTGTGGTACAGTTAGCTATGGAGTGTTCAGACTGAGTTAACAATGACTTTGGCAGCCTCCCCCAAAGCTCACTTTATAGAATTATTTTCCAAAACTTTTTCAAATATGTGTGACTATAAAATTGTAAATTTTGTTTCTGATATGATGGATTCTAGTGTGGGAACTTAGTTCCCCCATAGTACAGTTGAGGTTTTGCCTCTAGCTGTGTCGCAGAAAGTGGTGCTGCCAAAGCTGTTTGAAATGTTGAGATTCAATTTGGGTCAGTGTATCCTGCTAACTTTTTTCTTCAAAGTGCGTTTGAGGATAAGCTGATTTTTGGGCTACTTAGTGACTTCAGAGTGATCAGTCTTTGTGATAATATTTTATTAAGTTATAATATTTATGTGATATTATTTAAATGCAAATAACACTACTTAAAATACAAGAATCACCCGACTTGTTGTAAATTTCGGAGATACTGAAGTATTTTCTGGAGTGGCCACAGGATTTCTCAGAAGGTCTTCAGGTAGGAGGGACAGGGTGTTTCTTTGTGGCCTTCCCTTCATCTCTGCCATGCTGTAGTAGGTGAGGGTACATGCTGCCGCCTCAGGAACTTGGCTTCTGCCCATTTCAACAATGAGTAGATAAAAAGGAAGCTCAGGTTGTGCTGGGATACACACGGTTTGTGTTTTGGCTAGAACCCATTTACTGCAGAAATTCCTTCAGCTATGCATTGAAATACTTGATGACCCTTGACGGCCGTGCCTAGAACTTTGGGAAAAGGTGGAAGAGAATGAGAATGTAGGAAAAGAGTAAAGCACAGCAAAGGAAGCTAGAGGATAGGAAAGAAAGAGAAGACTATAGTTTGTGGTGGCCAGCTTCATTTAGTTCATTGTTATAACGTTGCCATATATAAAATTACTATGAAGTCTCTTAAAATGTGTAGTGCACATGTGAGGCTGCTTGACAACCTGTGGCTATTCATTAAATTTATGCACCCTGCTTTGTGACTATAAATAGTCACATTGGGTGAGGCCATTGTGGTGTCAACACCGGCAGTCCAATGGGTCAAGCTGTTCCAGAACAAGTGCTTTATACTACAGTGGTAGGACTGCTGGGAATAACCATTTGGAAATCCTTCTAGAACAATGTCATTGTTGAGATGCCTTAATAAATGATAGTTCACCTTTAGTGTTATCAGGAGGATATTTGGGTTCTGCCATGATGGCCACATACTTGATTACTGGTGTTGTGTTGTTTTGTTTTGTTTTTCCCTTACAGCGAGTAGAAATTTATTTTTGCTTGTCTTCCACAGAAGTTGTAAGTATTCTAAAGAGATAGTCTTGGTGATTAAGTGTTGTGTATGTAGTTATCACCGTTTTCATTTGACTCCTTTAGATGAAGACTTGATAGAAAATTTAACCCAAGATGAGACATCTAGGCTGGACCTTGGGTTTGAGGAGTGGGATGTAGCTGGCCTGCCCTGGTGGTTTTTAGGAAACTTGAGAAACAACTATACACCTAGAAGTAATGGCTCCACTGACTTACAGACAAATCAGGTAAATCTCACGTTTGAAGGGAAACAAGTAGCATTGTTTACTTTTGACCACTGTACATTATTTTCTTTAAGATCTTACTCACTGGTATGATTAAGTGCCGTCTGGGAGTGGTTGTTGTGTACAGCAGTTACACACCATTTGTGATGCTCACACTCCACAGTGAGTAACTGGGCTGGAGTCTAGCTTTACTGCTCACTCCAGCTTCCTGCTAATGCATCCCTAGGAGCCAGCAAGTGCTGGCTCAGATACTTGGGTCCTTGCTACCCATGTTGGGGACTTGAGTGAAATTCTTGCCTTCCAGATTATATAGATTTAGGGAGTGAATTAGCACATGGGAGGTCTTTGCCTGTCTTTCTGTCTCTGAAATAATACAGTTGCAAGCTCAAACTTGAATGTCTAGCACTAAGTGCTCTCCCAGATGCCCAGTTCCCATATCAAGCTGCCTTCTTAATGCTTTCAGAAGATTTGACATTCAATTGGTTCAAATGCAACTCTCGACTTTTATCCTCTACCATAATGGTTTCTTTGCTTGTCATAGACATACTCACGTTCTCAGATCTTTACCCAGAACATATCCAGAATCATTTTTTTAATTTAAAGATTTATTTATTTATTTATTTATTTATTTATTTATTTGAACGGCAGGGTTATAGAAAGAGAGGGAGACTGAGAGCTTCCATCCTCTGGTCTACTTTCCAGAAGGCCACATGGCTGGGGCTGGGCCAGATGTAAACCAGGAGGTAGGCGCTTCCTCTGAGCCTCTCACATGGGAGAGACCTGGGCCCTCCTTCACTGCTTTTTCCAGACCATTAGAAGGAAGCTAGATGGGAAGTAGAGCAGCTGGGACAGGAATTCTGGCACTCATTGTAGGCAGTATTATTACCCACTATGTCACAACACTGCCTCCCGCCCCTTTTTAAAGATTTGGATTTTTGAAAGGCAAAGTTAGAGGGAGACAGAAATACCTTGCATTCTCTAATTTAGTCTCCAAATGACCACAGCTGTCAGGCTGGGCTGAAACCAGGAGCTTCGTCCATGGTCTACCGCTTGGGTGTAGGGGTGCAAGTACTTAGGCCTTGTTTTTCTTTTCTTTCTTTTTTTTTTTTTTTTTTAAATTTACTTTTATTAGAAAGGCAGATTTACAGAGAGAAGGAGAGATAAAGATCTTCCATCTGCTGGTTCACTCTCCAAATGGCTGCAACAGCCAGAGCTAAGCTGATCTGAAGCCAATTGCTTCTACCCTGGTCTCCTACATGGGTTTGGGATCCCATGGCCTTGGCCATCCTGTGTTGCCCTTCCAGGCCATAAGCAGGGAGCTGGATGGGAAGTGGGGCAGCCAGGACATGAGCCGGTGCCCACAGGGATTCTGGTGCTTGCAAGGTAATGATTTAGGCATTGGGCTACCATGCTGGGCCCAGGCCATCTTCTGCTTTGCCAGGCTCATTAGCAGGGAGCTGGATTGGGGCTTTGAATTAGCTCCTGTGTAGAATGTCAGCATTGCAGGGGACAGTTTAGTTAATCCACAGGTTGACAATGCCGCCTCATCTGGAATCTAATTAACCATTTTTAATTATTTCACTGTCACAGCTGGATTCAAGCTGGCACCTTTTTGTGTGTGCAGCTATGATAGTAGCCTTATGCTATAGCTCTTGTTCATCTTAAATAGTTCAGTCTTTTCAGAGAACCAGTTTTATCACTGTTATATCATTCCTCAGTGGTTTCACAAAGCATTGAGATAAAAACCTAGATTCTGTACAGTCCCATGACTAGCCTGGTCTCTTTATTATTCACTGTGTGTACTCCAGGCTTCTACTTTTTCAGGTATCTTAGGTTTATTCTTTCCTGTTTCTGCAACAGTGTCCCAGATTTAGAATTCAGCTGAAGTGCAGTTTTTTTCAGATGTTTTCCATAGCTGTCGTGCTGCAGTTCTGGCGGGTCCCACTCACTTTAGGATTGTGCCTTATAACTGGTGGCCCTCCAAACACCCACCCCTGGTCAGCATGGCCATCTCCCAAAGTCCCTCTGTTCTTTTAATTTTTGCCTATTTTCACTGCAGTTCTCATGTGCTAAAGATGATACTGTCTTGTGCAGGTGTGTTTCTGTTTTCCCCTCATTGAAAGGCCAGGCCAGGTTTTTTTGTGTTATTTACTCTGTTTCATTACCTTGTAAATGGGTGCAGTGTCTGGCACACTAGAGGCATTCAGTGAATACTTGTTGAATAATGAAAGGGCATAGGACACTGCAAAATATGGAGTTGTCTCATGATGTAGAAAAGTGTCATAAAACGTCCACAGAAAGTTCTGTGTGTTTTATAGTTGCTTAGAATATCAAAGTGTTACAGCAGAAGATTTCAGTCATATTTCTCAGTCAGCAACGTGATCATTAAAAAAAAACATGTCAGAACCAGTGGAGTGTTTTTTCTTGACTTTTCAGGGCACTGCCTGTGGAAAGGCCTGCGGGAAATGTGTTCAATGTGGTTAAGTAACTATGAGTCCTTAACTCTTAGGCCCTTGAGTGCTCTTTCTTTTTCAAGTGTTCAGTCACGATTCAGTGTTAAAATTGGAAGTTTCTTGCCAGGAATTTAAAAATCATTTATCCACAGTAGGTGTCTAATTAGATATCTGCTGGTGAATATTTGTCCATTGGAGAAAAATAAGATGTTCTTTGGACATGTACTGAGAAGAAGTTGAGTTTTGTTTGTTGGTTCAGCATCTCTTTATAAACCACTGACCACAGAAACTTGTTGGTTTTCTTTTTCTGTTAGGATATAGGTACTGCCATTGTTTCAGACACTACAGATGACTTGTGGTTTTTGAATGAACCAGTGTCAGATCAGTTGGGTGTTGGATTAAAAGGTGAAGCAGTTCTTATTGAACAAGCAAGTGAAGAAGTAGGGAAAGTGAGTGACAAAAAGGTATGTTTATAGTATACTCTCGATCTTATTGGTATATCCCGCTACAAAAAATTACTCATAATTTTCTGTTTTAAAATTTTATTGTTTTCCTATAATCAGTTTTAAAATTTACCAAGGCTGCTTTTAGAGTAAGATTTGATGGTATGGTTTCTACTTTGTTAGAAGCAGCAAGCTGCCCTTTACTCCTGCTTAGGTAGTCTTTCATTGAGAAGTTTTTTCATCTACAGCTTTCATTGGCTAACAAGGCAAAGTTCTGAATGGCGTCAACATCCTGTAGGAGGAAAATCTTAGAGATCTCGGAGGCTTTTATAACCATTTTTTTATCTAAATGAAAGGACAGTTGGTTTCTTTTTACCTGGTAGTGTTAAAACAGAAGGCAGGAGGGGAGGTAGGACCCTGAGTGCCTGCAGTATCGTGTCGCTAGGGGGCGTCTCAGAGGCAGGAGATCCCATGTGGAGGGTTCGCATTCACACTGCCCAATCAGTAAAACCAAAAACCAGATCAAAGTTGTCATATTCATTTGGTCAGTTACTTGATTTTCAGAGGAATGGGTATTCCCAGTGATTTCCATGCCCTGGGATGCTTGCTGTAGGCAGATGGATGCTTTAAATGCTATATTTTTAAATTTAAAAGACCCTCCCCACCCTGGTCTTTGGGGCAGGGTTCTGTGGGTCAGCCTGAGGATCACAGAACTTTTTATTCTTGGATGTGAAAAGTAAAATTTTTATAATGCATCACTTTTATCCTTCATATCTGTCTACATTCCCAATATAAAAATGTTTTTATGTTTAGTCATTTGCAGCTTTACTATTTAAATTATTTGTTTTCTTCAAAGTTCTAAGTTTAAAGAAAATAGCTGGTGACACTTGTGGGTGCTTTCCTGTCCCTGTTCAGGTGTGTACAGAATCTCACTTGGTCTTGTAGTGATGGAGCTAGAATAGAATGTGAGTCGGTAATTGAAGCTGTTGTGTTTGGCTTTCAGGTGAAGTCTTTGTCTCAGGTCAGTCTTACTAATGAGATGGCTTTACCTTTACAGATGATTGAAGTGGGGAAAACTGACGACCCTGAGGACTCTAAATTCTTAAGTGATGACAATGATGTGGAAGTTACCTCTGAGGTATGACTCGCTGGGGAGAGCCGTGTGCAGGGGCCAGTCCTAAGACGCAGGAGGCCCAGGAGCATGCCCTGGTGGCAGGCTGCCTCTCTAAAGGCCTGCTGCTTCAGCCTTCCCTCACTGCTCAGAGGCTTCTCTTGTTAGAGGTTCATGTTGGAATCGAGGAGAGGAGAGAACCTGATCTGATCTCTCCCTGTGTCATGAAGGGGTGACTTAAGTGCCTCTGCACCTCTCCCCCTGCCGCCCAAACTCTCTGGGCTCGATTGCTGGAGATACTGTTATTCTGCACTGCTTTCCCCACCAACTCCCAGGCTGTAGATACAGACACCTTGTCAGGTGAGCAGATTTCTCTGTGGAATAGAAATAGTGACAATGTCAACTCTCTTAAAAATAAACAAAAAATAAATAAATGCCCTAATTTCCATACCAGTAAATATTAGTATGGGCTGTTAATAAAGATGCGGTGTTAGGCCATTAGGTAATAGATATGGATTTGTCACCAAGTGATAGCTCCTATCTAGACCCAAATGTATGTGAACTTGCTTTTTCTCTTTTCATGTTATTTCCCTATTTTCCTTACAGTATTTCCAACACTGTGGGAGCAAGTATGGTGAGGGAAGGATGAAGAAAGGACTTTGCTGCTTGTGCGAGTCCTCACCACTACCTCTGCATACTACTGTTGACTATTAGGATGATTTATTGCAAATTATCTGCCTATGCATAGTTCAGGAGGAAAATGGCACACCTTGGTCCATTATTGTTCTTGATATTTATGCAAATGACAGTGATAAATATTTTCATCTGAATAAGACTTCTGTGACTACTTGGGCCCAGAAGATCTTTAAACAAGTAAACTGTATTTCATCAAATTGAAAATGCCATAGACTTTAATAAACCCTATTATTTTCTGAATTAACAACAAAAAAGTGGTGTCAGTACAATTGTGGCTTACCATCAGTTATGAATTCCAAATCTATGAAACTCCTTTAAGTATTTATTTGTATAGCATTTCAGGTGAGATTGGAGGATCTTACTATTTTTAGATTTGTTTATTTATGTGAAAAGTAAAGTCACAGAGAAAGAGGGGGAGACAGGTCTTCATTGACTGGTTCACTTCCCGAAGGATGCCAATAGCCAGAGTTGGGTAGGTCCAAAGCCTGAGCTGCCTCCTGACCTCGCACATAGGTGAATAGGCTCAAGCACCTGGTTGCCTTCCACTGCCTTCACAGATGAATCAGAGGTGAAACAAGCGGGACTTGAACCAGCACATCTGTGGGATGCTGGCTTCACATGCTGTATCACAATGTTGACCCCTTAGAGTGGAGGATCTTAAATTGACATAAAATTTGGGCCTGATGCAGTAGCCTAGCATCTAAAGTCCTTGCATTGAATGCACCAGATCCCATTTGGGAGCCAGTTCTAATCCCAGCAGCTCCACTTCCCATCCAGCTCCCTACTTGTGGCCTAGGAAAGCAATTGAGGATGGTCCAAAGCCTTGAGACTCTGCACCCTCGTGGGAGACCTGGAGGAGACTCCTGGCTCCTGGCTTCGGATCGGTGCAGCACTGGCTATTGCAGCCACTTGAGGTAGAATCATCAGATGGAAGATCTCTCTGTCTCCTCCTCTCATTATATATCTGAATTTGCAGTAAAAATAAATATTTCTTAAAAATTGATACAAATTTTGAGGCTCCGTGGAAGATGTTCCGGTTTAATATACTGTCATGCTGCTGTGTCTCAGTGGAGTTGGAGCTTCTAAACGTGGCCTTGGTCCTGTGAGTAATTGAGTCAGCCTTGGTCAGACAGTAGATCCTGTTGAAGCCAGACAGTTACCTGCAGTAAAAGGATCTTGCCTCCTTTGGCTTAAGCACCACCTTTAATGCTGATTGAGCTCTAGTGTCTCCTAATTTGAATATGGAGGAATGGGGGAAGAATTGCTTGGCATTCAGGGGCACGAGAATCTTTTCAGAGTGTGATTTAGGCATGTAGTTGACTCCCTGTGATCCCGGGACGTACAGGAGCAGGAATTAACTCACGTGTTCAGGTCTTGTTTTACGATTTTATTCCCTTTTGGGGTCACATTTCTTGGCATTTGTTAATTAATATGAAAGAATAACACTGTATTACCTTGATCAGTTTTTAATCTTCTGATAAAGGAACAATTGTCATAGAAAAATGACCTAAAAAAGAAGGCAGTGAAGAAAAAGGAAAAAAGAAATGTATATTTTACCAGACTGAATGGGAAGCTGGAATAGTTCATGTAACTTTCTTTGGAGATCGCAGTATCAGATGTTGGCTTGTAAGTGGCGATTGCGGCACTCTAGTTGTGAAACTTGCACATTTCTTCTCCTAGCTGTCGGGCTTGCCCAGTCCTGGGCTGGACCACTTATACGAGGAATGTCTGAACTGTGAGAGGAGGAGAATTCAACCTCGCCCTCACCTCTTAGAGCAGGTTCACAGTAGAGTGAATGCTAACTGGCTGCACTTGTCTTTGTAGGATGAGTGGCAGTGTACAGAGTGCAAGAAATTTAACTCTCCAAGCAAGAGGTACTGTTTTCGTTGCTGGGCCTTGAGGAAAGACTGGTATTCAGATTGTTCCAAGTTAAGCCATTCCTTTTCCACCTCTGATATCACTGCCATACCTGAAAGGAAGGAAAATGAAGGAATTGATGTTCCCGACTGCCGAAGAACCATTTCAGCTCCAGTTGTCAGACCTAAAGATGTATATAAAAAGGAAGAAAAATCCAAACTGTTTGGCCCCTGCAACTCGGTGGAATTCTTAGATTTGGCCCATAGTTCTGAAAGCCAAGAGACTGTCTCAAGCACGGGCGAGCAAGCAGATAACCTCTTTGAACAGAGGACAGATACAGAAAATATGGAGGATTGTCAGAGTATCTTGAAGCCCTGTAGCTTATGTGAGAAAAGACCACGAGATGGGAATATTATTCATGGGAGGACGAGCCATCTTACCACTTGTTTTCATTGTGCTAGAAAACTAAAGAAGGCCGGAGCTTTGTGCCCTACTTGTAAGAAGGAAATTCAGTTGGTTATTAAAGTTTTCATAGCATAGCTGAATCAGGGAGTTGCAGAGAAAGAACCAGAGAACCAAGTCATGTTGAAAGCACCCGTGTTGAGCACCTCTTCCTAGTCGCCTGGCATCTGTGCAGTGATTCATGTCAACACCTGTGTTCCGGAACGTTTTTCTTCTAAACTGGTGTGGGACTTGAGAATTCTTTAGAACTAGATAATCAACTTTGGGGGTCTCACTAACAGATACCTAAGATCCACTTAAGATACGTAAGTCATTTCATTCTTCCTCCAAAGATTAGGGTTTGGGAGGGAACCACCTACCAGCTCAAACAGAAAAAAATCATTCATTCATTCACTTACCAGATTATTTAAGAATTAATCCTTTCCTTAGTTGATTTAATCCTTACTCTTTTGTTGGGGAATGTTTTTTTGTTGTCAGAATTCAAGGTTGGAGGAGCAAATGATGAGAAATATCCATGACTTGGCTGGTTCAAATTGGGAAGGACTGTGTGTCCCTTTGTTATAGTTGGAGTACATGTCTCAGAAGCCACAAGAGGCAGTGTTAACAAGCAAGGGACTTCTTCCAGGAATGCCTAATACAATGGTTATGAAAATTTTTGATAACATATCCCTAAAATTTTATAACCTTTTGCACATTTGAAAAATGAAGTATAATTATAGATAAGAAAGTATTCCCTTCAGCTGAATTGTGCATATCTTGAGTACTCGCCCAAAATAAGCCAGAATATTCTGTCATCCCGAACACTCACTGTGGTTCTTCAGCCATTTCATGGCTCTCACTTTAGGCAATTCTGTTTTTGCACATCTTTAAGCATGCAGATATTAAAAATGTGAGTACTGGGCCCACGCAGTAGCCTAGCGGCTCAAGTCCTTGCCTTGCACTCATTGGGGTATCTCATATGGGCGCTGGTTTGTGTCCCAGCAGCCCTGCTTATCATCCAGCGCCCTGCTTGTGTCCTGGGAAAGCAGTTGAGGGTGGGCCAAAGCCTTGGGATCCTACCCCCATGTGGGAGACCCAGGGGAGGCTCTTTGCTCCTGTCTTTGGATTGGCACAGATCCAGCTGTTGTGGCTGCTTGGGGAGTGAATCAAAGGATGGTAGATCTTCCTCTCTGTCTCTCCTTCTCTCTGTATATCTGACTAGCAATAAAAAAAGAAAATAAAATCTTAAAAATATATATATATATAAAATCCTCTTAAAAATTTAAGTACTTAGAAAGGATGCAATATAGTGTATATTATACACATGCTTTAAAGATACTTATATTAAAGCTGTAAAACTATAGACTTGGCGGGTTCTAGAAAAATGTCCTAGCTCAGAAACTGGCAAAGCCTGCTCTCATTTCCAGTGGATCAGCTAAATTAGTTTTAATTCCAGTGAGTACACAAAACGCAGGTTTCTTGACCAGCTGCCTTCCTGGTTCTGCAGGTCCAAAGCTGTCCCTGCTTTTCTTTCTCAGTGTTGGTGCTCTCAGCTCTCAGCAGGGTGCTCTGGTGCCTGTGGGATGTTTACTAACCTGAGGCAGTGGTCCGCTGGAAGATTCCAGATGGAGCAGAGGCAAGCTTTGAGCCTCGGAAGTAAGGTGGTTGTGAAAAGAAATAATGAAGACTTGGTAGATTGAAGAAGCCTTGATCAGGCCACATCTGTTTTCGTACAATGAGATGGAAATTAAAAAGCTCTGAACTGATCTCTTTAAAGCTACCCAAGGGTAATTATCTGCTGGAGGAATAGCATCTGGGCTGGTAACCAGCACATGGCCCCCAGGAACCGCTCCCGAGCTCTGCTGCAGGTTCTGGAGTGCTGTTGGAAGGAAGCCTTGCTTTCGGAGGAAGGGCTGGATTGGAGCACAAAGCGGAAGGCTTCCCTTGCTGTACTTTAGTTTCTAGAGGGCAGCACTGTTCACGTTACTGAAGTGTGGAACTGTAACAGCATTCACACCTCTGCACTTGCACTGGCTGAGGCTGGTGACAGCCAGAGTTCAGAGTTCTCACTGTAATCTAGATCCTTCAGCTGAGCCATCTTGGTGGGGGGCAGGGAGGGGAGTTTCAAATATAGGGCTTCTGATAAATGACTTCAGAGATTGTGATACTGTAGCTGGAATGAGGCTTTCGAAGGAGGTTGAACACAGCCCAGTCAGTTCCATGTTTTCTTAGCTAATCAGACAATCCTGCTACAATGAGGACAGGTGAAGCAGGCTGGGGGCCTGACCAGTCTTGTCCAGTGCTGTTCTGTTACACGTGAAGCTTGGAGTCTGGCTGCTTTCACACGCCAGGAGGACCCATTTGTTCACCCCGTGAGCAGAACCAGTCCTTTGTTAGGTCAAGGTGAATGCTCCAAAACTTGACCAACTTTGCTCCTATTCCTCACCCCCATATTCGTCTGATGGTTCACTAGCCCTCTTTAGGTTTTGCCAGGGTGCTGTTCAGCTGTATCCTGTGATCCCCAAACATTTATGTTTGAAGCTAATTCTGGTACATCCCTGCCCGGCACAGGATCTGTCATTGGGCTGCATTCCTTGTGTCGTGTCTGCTTTCCTGAATTTCCTCTGTCTCCAGCAATACTAAGTACTTTGCTGTTGGAGTCTAACCTTGTCTTCCTGTTAAGGGAAGGGAACGGCAAGCCTTCCTGTTCTTTGTTTTGTTTTTCATTGCTCCTCTGGTACAAACTGTTCTAATGCTGCAAAAGAAAGAGTTTGGATGTGAAATCTTTAGTTTGGATGTGAAATCTGAGTAAGAGACGGCTGGACTTCCGGTGCTATGGCACCGCTTGTGTGCTTGGGTGTTCTGGGGACAGTGCCAGTTCACCCTAGCTGTCGGCACAGGATCACACCCACCTGGTCCCCATCCCTTCCATTTTTACTCTCCATTTTTTCATTTGATTTGTAGTTGGACTGTGAGGAAGGATATTCAGTGAGGGTGGCTGTGGGGTTCCATGTTTCTGATGCATCTCAGTGCAGACTGAGTAGTGGCATCACCACATTAGCAGCAGCTTCTTTATCTGAGTTGTTATTTACATTCTCATTTGTAGTCATTCTCTTGCACAGGAAGTTCAGAACATTGATGATAAATCATTAGAAAAAACACTTTTTTGGGTAATAGCTAATTGGGCCTCCTGCTTCTTAATGTCCGTGCGCTCAGCTTTCCTTGTAGACAGCAGTTATGGTATACATTTGTGTCTAATACTTACTTCAGACTTTGTAGAAGTTGAGACCAAGCCTTCAAACTGGTATTCCTGTCTCTACTTCATCGACCTCAAGAGACCACGGACTTCCAATCCTAGGCTCAAGCAGCGGATCGGAGTCCAGCCAGGCCAGCTGCCCACTGCCAGACTGTGTAATGCAACGCTGCGTCACTGCCAAGCATATGAAATGTGCTGTTGTGTTTGAATTATAATTTATATTGCTGATGTATGCAATGTTTTGTGGACATTTGTGTTGTACGAATATTTTTAGAGGTTAAAACATAATTGGGGGGGTTCAGTTTACTGCAATGTTGGCTCCTTTGAAAAGTCATTAATGGGAAATTTGGATGTTCTTGTAATCTATGGGGATATTGAATGTTACCTCTTGATTCACTTTGAAAAGCAGAACTCACTAGCCAGCCTGTGGGGTTTTCCTTCCAGGCTTACCTGAAATGGCGTGGCCAGGGACACTGTGAATCTTGTTTTCTGTGTAGCCGATGACCTCCTCACGTTGTTGAAACCCACATCCTGAAGCAGAAGTACTTCTGAGGGTTCTCCTGATGATATGTGCATGTGTGCACACTGAGACTGATGCTGCCTTGTCTAAAAGGCCCTTTGTTACAAACTAGCCACGTTCAGAATCTGCACTTGGAAGATCAAGGAGCCTGCAAGCTCTTCCTGTGCCAAAGTGAAGCTGTCCCGTTTACTGATGGAGATTTGCACTGCTGGCGGGAATGCTGAGTTACTCTGCTGTGATCTCTCAGATGTGTGTTACAATTTAGCCCAGGAGGGGACATTTTGAGGATTCCAAGGCTAAACTAGAAATGAGCACCTGAGTGGTTGAAGTAGCTCCCTGGGTCTCATTTGGGAACAGTTCTGAGTCGTCCCTTTGTTTGTACAGCTTTTGTTATGTCTCCCATTACTTAGTCTGGGAGCCCCTGGATCTCTTCTTGTGTGGGAGAAAGCACTGTCAGCGTTTTGAGTTCTTCTGATTAAGTGGTGTACAGTACAAGCAAAGCTGTTCTTGGGGGATGTGGTATTTTTCAGTCAAGCCCACTCGTGGATTTACTGCACCTTCATCTGTAGTATTTGAGAACATTCCGGGGAAGGAGACATGTACAGGAAGCACGCGTGGCTCGCCTGAAGTCCATGGTCCTGCTTCACCTGCGGGGGCTTTCCCCATGCAGGTTCCCCCTTACTGCCTCGGGGGCTGGGGTGGCCCCACGGAGAGATGGAAAAGGGGCCAGGCAGGTGCTCCACTGAGAAGTGATGTTACAACACTTGAATGGGTTATCTGTTGAAGTGTCTAATTTCTTGGCTGAAGGTATGTGTTTTCTCAGCATTAAGTGCTTTAATACCAATGGACACTTCCCTTCCCTTCCCATCACTCTTATATCCTGTGGGTTTGAAGTTCTCTCTGGCTGTTGCTTCTGTACCAGAAGCCTCTGGGTTACCCCCTGGCACCATTTTCAGAACAGGATCTTCTGATTCCTCTCTTGGGGTGGATGTCAGGAGAGTGTCTCTGTAGGATCAGATGGTCAGTTCTCACAACGAGAAAAGGCCACTCCTAACAAAGGCATGGCAGAGATGGAGTGACAGTAGGGGCGCTCGCGTCCTCTGGGTCTCTGCCCTGAGTCAGCCCAGCCGCCTGTCCTCTGATGGGAGAATTCCCCACCCCCAACTCCATAGTCTGCCCCCTTTGTGTTCTTTTTTTCTTAGAAAATGTCGTGCAAGGGGAATGACATTTTTGTTGGCCGCCTCTGCACTTGGCACCATAAAAGTCAGGAGCAGACCCAGATGGACTGTAGCTATGCACTGTTTAGTGCATACTGTAAGAATAAGACTGTCCTACTGGCTTGAGTCTTTAAGTCTCAGTTTCTCTCATCTGTAAATGAGCACACAAACCCTTACATTTTCTACCTCATTGTTGTGGCGGTTAACCTTTGGAGAGCAACTTTGAAACATACAATTGCCTTGGAGATGCCAGAAGATGTCATGCTCATGGTAGCTCAGACTCTGTGTTGGAGAGAGAGAGTGTGTGTGTGTTTACACAGTTCCTCCCGGCCTGCAAGGTGAGCATGCGGTTCCTTCCTGTGTGCTCAGCCGAGCCCGCGGAGCCATGCTTCACGCGTGCGTCCTTGCCGCAGTCCGTGGTAAGGAAAGCCTTGTCTCTGGCCTTTCTAAGAAGTGCATGTACATTTGAAGAGCAGGCTCTTTCCTGATAGGACTGCTTTGCTTGAGCCTTGTGCATAAATCCTACATACCCTTTAGGAGATGGCATACGCACTGCTGGAATATAGAAAACAAGCAATTTCCCAAACATGTCTCGCAGGGAGTAGCAAATGTAGATTCATAGATAGGAGACGACAAAACAACCAGGATGTGG